CAAAAAAAAAAAAAAAAGCATGTGCGGATTTGCAATTAAACCTACTTCATACGGTCATCCTATTTTACACCTGCATAGCTTTTGCAGTTCATGGAGAACTTTTATTTATACCATTTAATTTCATTGTCACGGCATTATCGCGTTACCATTGTTGTGGAAAGTGTGGATCAGAGCAGGTTAATTCAAGTCCCAGATTTCTAATTGGGAAGGAGGAGCTCCAGGGAACTGGAAATACCAGGGAGATTGCAGAGAGGCAGAAGCTTAGGAGAGTAACCCCATAAAGTCCTTTGTGAACTACAGAGCTCGCCACCAACCTGAGTGAATGTATGTGTGGGGGTGGGGGGTGTCTGTTCCGTACCGGGCATTCCAGAAGCATCAAGGGAGATGAAGTGAACAAGAAACGGCCCAGTAAGGAACTCTGGAATTTCACCCCTCCACAGATGAAACAACAAAACTGGCGATGACTTTCAAAATCAACTTTTTAGGAACTCTGGAAATTAACCAGTGACTTATAGCGGTCTGCGGAGTGCTAAATCAAGAACCATGGCTGGGATGTGTTTTGTTTTTTCAAGTGAGCTTTAGGGCATTTTAACATACCAGTCCCACCCCCCACTCCTCAGCTCAGTGGCAGCCCTGAAAATAACAGCCTGAATTCCTGGTACCAGTGGAAGCAGAAAGGACCTCATCCACAAAGAATTGTAATTATTTGTTTAATCCTGCCTGGTGGCCCCCGGAAAGACTGGCTGGAAAGGCTTGTCTTCATTTCCCCTGACTTGGAACTGGCCCAGTGCTAGAGCTGCTGACTGGGGGCATGGAGGTGAGGGCACTTTGTCAATAACATTTATTTTATTCCCTGCTCCCTTAGGGGATAGGTACCAGCACTGGGGCACACAATAGATGAACTAAAAGGTTTGGGTGGAAAGGCTGAGAAATGAGATGTCCATAGGGGTTTGAAGAGCTGTGACATGCTCCTGGGAGTCTCGAAGGCCACATGCATACATAGGGCAGGGGACATGCTCAGGAAAGACCTGAGAAGGCTGAAAGATCTCAATGCTGGCTGACCTGGAGTCTCTGTGTGAGCAGAAAGGAAGGCTGAGGCAAAGATGTAAACCGCCTGGCAGAGTGTTGCAGATGTGGGCACATAGAGCGCCCCCAGCAAAGACTGGGGCATTTTTTCATTCCAGAGTTTTATGGGAATCTCTGTCTAATCATTTCTGACAACTAAGCTAACAGGACAGCTATTCCAGTGGCCACACAGAACAAAGAAGAGACTTTACAGTATTATTTCAGAAAAAAATCACTAAACAAACAACAACAACAACTAATAAGAAGCAGGAATAATGAACCCTGAGGAGGACAGGGATTCTGATAGCCTGAGCTGCCATGTTAAAATATTCAAAATACCCAGTTTTAAATGAAAACCACAAGGTGTGCAAACAAGAAAGTATGGCCCACACATCAGGAAAAAGGCAATAGAAACTGGGCTCTGGGGATCCCAGATATTGGACTTCTTTACAAAGACAATAAATCAGCAACTTAAAATACATCCAAGGAGCTCAAGAAAACGATCTCTAAAGATCAAAAGGAAAGTATGAGCATGATGTCTCACCACATAGAGAATATGAACAAATTATAGCCAGGCCGGGTGTGGCTCAGTGGCTGAGCATCGACCTAGGATCTAGGAGATTGCAGTTTGATTCCCAGCCAGGGCACAGGCCCGGGTTACAGGCTCGATCCCCAGTGGGGGCCATGCAGGAGGCAGCTGATCAATGACTCTCTCATCACTGATGTTTCTCTCTCTCTCTTTCCCTCTCCCTCTACCTTCCTCGCTCTAAAATCAATACATATTTTAAAAAAAAGAAAAAGATATTATAAATAAAAATTTTTAACCAAACAGAAAATCTGGAATTGTGTAAAGTACAATAACTGAAATGAAAATTTGACTATAGAGGCAAAAGTAAGATTCAAGCAGGCAGAAGAAAGAATGAGCGAATTTGAAGCTAAGTCACTAAGTCAGTTCAGTGTAGGGGACAGAAAGATAAAGCGGGAACAGCGTCTTGTGGACCTGTGGAACACCGCCCCCGTAACAGCATACACATAATGGGAGTCCCAGAAGAAGAGGAGAGGAAGCGGCTGAAAGAATATTTGAAAGAATAATGACGAAATTTCCCCCAAACCTGATGAAAGATATGAAACTACCTATCCTTCCCTCTGGTAATCATAGTACTGTTGTCTGTGTCTATGAGGGTTTGTTTTGGTTTTTATGCTTCCGATAGTCATTTTCAGCAGTTTCGTTAGGCGCATATGAAGTTTGAAAATATGCCCAATGAGCTCCAAGATTCTCAAAAGACTGTACTATCACATCACGATAAAATAATGTTATTTTTTGTTTGGTATCCGATTAACCTCAGTTGAATAAACCTATGCCTTTGTTTCCACCAGAGTTGAAAATATGTCAATGAGGTTGGAGGAGATCAACGAAAGGGAAAGTTTCATGAAAACGACCCTACAGACTGTGGACCTTCGACTCTCTCAACTGGAAGAATTATCCAGCCGAATGGTGAACGCCCTGGAAAACCTCAACGGGATCGACAAGGCCGAGCTCGTGCAGACGCGGTCCCGGGCCTCCTCCGAATGTGAAGCCACTTTCCTCCTGCGGCAGAGCAGTGCCAACAGCGCCGACAGCTGCAGCGTGTTCCGCTGCCACTTCCACGCGGAGGAGCTGTGTGAGGACGCGGTGGTCTCCATGCCACCTGGGACTGGGTTCAGGCAAGAAGCCCGCTCCTTGGGCATGAGGGAGGAAAAAGACCCGAAAGCGCACCTGATCCCCGGGCGCCAGGGCAGCCTTCACCTCCCACCCGGAGCCAGCGCCAGCGCCCCGGCCACACCGGAGGGCAGTCGACTGGCCTTAGACAACGTAAAGCACGCTTCGGAGCCAAAATCAGGCCCAGAGATTGGGATTTCAGCCGAAGGTGACCAAAGACAGGCCAACTCCAAAAAAGAAGAAACGACGTCTCCACGTTTACCTCCAACAGATGTCACGCCTGGACTGAGTGAATCGGATTTGCAAACCACGCAGCTAACAGTGGAAACAGCAACGGTAGAAGGCGCTGTTTCTCACCCCCTGGAAGACATAAAAATGACACGCTGTCACCCCGATGACGTGTTCAGGGCTTGTCACACTGTGAAGTCCAGGAGCTTTGTGTATTCCCACGGCAGGAAGCGGATCAGCAGGGTCAACAAGTGGAGCGCGGGACACAGTTCAGTCGTGGATCAGGCGTGTCCCCCGGCGGTGCAGCAGTGGACCACGGAGTGGGAATACCAGGTTCAGAAGATCACGCGCTCTCGCAGCACCGACATCCCCTTCGTGGTGTCAGAAGCTGCGGTGCAGGCGGAGCGTCAGGACCAATGGACAGACACCGAGGGTGACCACTGTACACCTGAAACGGTCCCTCCCGCCGCTCGCTTGTCGCCAGCTGTTGCCGAGAGAACTGAGAAGGACAACTTACTGACTGTGAAACCAGACCAAGCTTTGGGGTTCCCGTCTTCAAGGTCGAAAAGTTTACACAGCCGCCCCAGGAATGCTAAAGCCGTTCCAGGCAAATTAGACAGACGTGGCCATGCCAGCAGCGCAAGTAGCCTTGCAGCCGTGTCTGCGGTTAAAAGGGAGGAACAGCAAGCTAAGCAGGAGCGAACCTCCCCCGAGACTGAGTGCTAGCGTGTTTGGTTTCTCTGATTTTTAAATCGAAGCCACCGATGAGTGCCGCCTTGGCCGTTTAAACAGCATCAGTTTCCGAAAACGTTTTCATGAAAAGCACTTGGCAGTTTGCACGTGTGATAAAAATTTAATGCACTAAATTTAAAGTATTATTTTGTTAGCATCTGTTAGTAAACTTAGCTTTTTTTTTTTTCCAGTTGGAGTAGGATCGAATGAAAGTGACGGTAATCCAATCGAGATTAATGACTCAATCAGTACACAAGAGTCTACAATCTCTATTTCCGAGGGCCACCAAATAGCCTAAGAAATGCCTCTGGGTGCCACCGATAGGTTTCTTAAGGAGTAAGGAACTGTGTAAGAAACAGAAAATAAAGAGAAAGCAAACATGCAAAAAAGAAGTCGGGGAGAGGACATATAAAATTTCGAGCTACGAGAAATGAGAAGTGGAAAGGAGCCGTAAGCATCGTATGTTTCGTACGGGTTTCTGTTTTGCATGGTAATGTTTTAAACTTACGAAATGAAGGGAAGTACAGGGTTATATCAGACATCGCGCTGTAATAATTTCGGGTGAGCTGACTAAAAATAAAGGAGCTGAGATGCATTTTCCCGCTGTCCTGTGGCCCTTGACAGCAAACACAAATTGTCTGTACCTCTGTCTACACAACAGTTTGTGCAGAGTCATGGCTGACACGTAAAAGGCGTATGTTCGAGGCGGGAACTGTCAAGAACTACAGACTATTCGTAGCTGAGAACGTGAGGCGGTGGCTTCAGCTTGTAAGTTCAGAGGCCTCCCCACTGGAGTCGGGCCTCTCTCTAGGGCCCCTAAAGGCCACCCTCCCTCCCACCACCATTCTCGGCTCTACAAAAAGGGGTTTCTCTGGCTAGAGGAGAGGCCACCGACATTGACAGAGGTTAGAGTCAGACCCTGGGCCTCACTCTCCCCCAGGAGCATCTCTTGTGAGTTCTCGGGCGGTCTCTGGAGGGCACAGGGATGACCAGCCTCATGCCCGCAGTTACTGACCGCTGCTGCTTCGGTGACGTGCCCCGTGCCCCAAGAACCAGTGGGTAGAGAATCCAGGAATTGGTGGGGGACACATGTCACCCATAAATGGAAGCTGACCGCAGAAGAGAGGAGCGCCACACCCACTGTCATCTGAGGTTCAGGCTGTAATTTTTTACATTATGAAAATGCCATGAAAGTAGGAACTTTGCCTTAGTGACCTGAAGAGTTTTTAGCACAAAGCCAGCATTCAGTACAAATTCGGGAACAGACTGAATGAATATATGAAGTGCCTGGTACCTAGGAGGTATTCGAGAAATGCTAGCTCTTTGTCTTGGCAGGGAAAAGGAAATTACCTATAGGGAATGCCCCTCTCCCCCAAGATAGAAGAACCCATAATGGAAACAGTCAGCAAAACAGGAGAGATGACAAACTAGTGACATTAGAGCCCAAAGGGGGTAGCCAGCTACTCCTAACATACAAAATAATCAGACATCAGGACTGAGAAGAGGCCCAACGATTGCACTGTGTGCTCCCCCAATTCCTACACTGAAACTCTGACACCAATGTGGCTGTATTTGGAGACAGGGCCTTTAGGAGGTTGTTGAGGTTAAACGAGGTCATAAGGTTGGGATCCTAACCCAACATGAGCTGGGCCCTGATAAGAAGACACCAGAGGCCCTCCAGCATTCGGGAGGTTGCTCCCTCCCTGTCCCCTTAACAGTCACATCAGGACACAGCCTCTGTCTACAAGCCCAGGGAAGAGCTCCCACCAGAAACCTGCCTTCATCTCGAACTTCCAGCCCCCAGCACTGTGAGAAATCAATTTCTTTTTTTATTTTTATTTTTTAAATTTATTTTTATTTTTAAATATATCTTTATTGATTTCAGAGAGAGGAAAGGAGGGGGAGAGAGAGAGACAGAAACATCAATGATGAGAGAGTCATTGATCGGCTGCCTCCTGCATGCCCCCGACTGGGGATCAGGCCCACAACCTGGGCATGTGCCCTGACCGGGAATCGAACCCCGAACCCTGATCGCCTGGATCCCAGGTCGACGCTCAACCGCTGAGCCACGCCCAGCCGGGTGAGAAATCAATTTCTGTTAAGCGCCCAGTCTGCGGTATTTTTGTGATGGCAGCTCAAGCAGGCTAATGCAATGATAGATCTAAAACTGTGATCATATTTAGGGTCGGGTCAATAACAAATCTGGAAGGCAGAGTTTTCCCACTTTCCAATCACGTGGTCACATATTACAGTTGTAGAGTCTAAGAAAGTCTACACAGGAGAACCGGAATCACAGAGTAGGCCGTTTAAAAATAAAGAAACACTCACAAAAATCCATCCCCCCCAGTTTTATTGCTCTATAATTGACGTCACTGTGTAAGTTTAAGGTACGTAGCATTGCGATTTCACTTACACAGATTGTGAAATGACCACGGTAAGTGTAGTTTGCATCCGTTATCATATAGAAGCAAAAAACGATTTTTTTTCCTTGTAATGAGAACTCTTAGGAGTCACTCTCAACAACTTTCACATGTAATGTAAGGAGTGCTAACTGTCGTCATGTGCGTTACACCCCCAGGACTTATTCCAGTTATAAACTGGAAGTTTGTGCCGTTCGCCCACATTTCTCCAGCCCCCCAGCCCCTCCCCAATCCAGGAACCACAAATCTAACCTTTTCTGTTTGTTTGGTTTTTTTGCTTAATCCATTTAATGTAGCGAAATCACGAACTATTCATAAATTTTTTTGAAAAATGCTCGCGCACGACAGTGTTTTTAACGCCTGCAACCCCATGGACTTCACAGTTTAAAGCACAGTTGTGGTTCCTGAGCAAAATGGAATCATGTGTCACTCAAGGTAACCAGAAAGATGATTATTTTCAGAAAAAGGAAAAAAAAAAAGAAGCAACCTTTGGAATCTTACTTTAGATGTTTTAATATTTCCATTAGCAACACTTGTCACCAGGATCCATACAGCCCGACTGGCGCTTCCCTGTGACATTAATGACACTAAGCCTAAGAAGGGTCTAGTCTCGGCTCAGATTCACCCAGATGTGGCTCCATCAGCACCAAGGCTGCCCCGGGTCAGACCCACGCTGAGCTCAGGAGCGCCCCAGGCCGATCAGGGGGGACCCCCTGTTCCCTGCAGGAGTGGGCGGCGTCCTGGGGGTCCCCCGCCTGCTGAAGCCCCCCGCCGGGCCTTGGTCACTCGGCTGCCCGCTCGCACCTTCACCTGGGAGACGCGCCAGAAAAGAAGGGAGGCGACCTGCTCAAGGGCATTTTCCACATTAACGTTTAATAAGGAAGGTAGAAGGCAACAGGCGAAACTGCGGGGGCTGGGTAGCGGGACAGTGTCATCAGTCACTAGTGCCCAGGGCCCCGC